CCCACCACCTCTGGTATATGGGGCCAGCAACCTACTTCTTGAGCCACAGGCACTGCCCCAGGTAGGGATATTTTTAATAAACTTATTCTAGGTAGTTTTCCTACATATCATAACTGTCCATTATAGTTGGATAGACTTTATTTTCTAAGTTTAAGATACTATATTTCTCTATTTTGCTATTAACAATTCTCTAGACGAGGCATGTAAACAGTTTTTGTATAAGAAGACTCACTCATCTAAACTTACCTCACATACTCTTAATTTACAACACACACTACCAGCAGTGATTATCTCTGGCATCTCTTTATACTCACCCTATTATCCATAGTTCCATCTATACATTTTATCACTGCCAAAGGACCTCAATATTTTTGTCTTAATTTGCTTACATGAAAACATCACAGCTCATTTTTAAATTGCTTTTATTTTTGTGTAATTTTTCCATTTTTGTTCAGAAGTCAGTTGCTTTGGTAACTTTATTTTTAAATAATTTTAACATAGAAAATAGTTGTAGGAATAGTAAAACACTCACATATTCTTCACCCAGCTTTACCAATTGTTTGTATTTTGTTCCACCTACCTGAGTTTGTGTATGTATGCATTCCTTTGAGACCTTTGAGATTAAGTTAGAGACATCATATTAATTGCCATTAAATATTTCTTTGTGTGTTCCCTAAGAACAGAGGCATCGTCTTCAATAGCAATAGTGCATATTTTTCTGTATTGGTGCCTAGTCTTTCAGATAATACTTAATATAATTTTATACTTTTAGTCAAGGGGCAAATGTAGGCATTTAGTTATAAAGTGATGGAGATAGAGACCACAACAGAAATCAAGCTAATTGCTGATTTTTTTGAAAAGACTAGAAAAATAGAATAGACAAACCTCTGAAAACAATGTTGAAAAAAAGAGAAGGCATAAATAAGTATTGTGAGTAAAAGGAGAACATATAGTAGAACCTCCGTGGTTGACCACCTCTTTAAGTTGACCTAATTTTCATAGACTGCATATGTACCACATGTATGTATCAGTTCAGTAGGCCTAGTTCTTTGTGTTGACCACTTCTGTTTGTTGACCAGTTTGTCGCAGTTCCTTAGGTGGTCAACTTACAGAGGTTCTGTTGTAGTTAAAGTTCATTCAGATTAAAAAGATAATAGAGAATACTATCAACAGTTTTATACCAACAAATTTGAAAGTTTAAACAAAATAAACTAACTTCTATAAAAATACAGTTTACCTAAACAAGGAAACTTGGAATAATCCTCTTATTATTAAATAAATTTTGCAGTAGTAAATTTTCCCACCAAGGAACTAGTAGGCTTAGATAATTTTATAGGAGACTTTTCAAGGATTAAGTCATTCCAATATTGTGTAAATTGTTCCAGAGAATAGAAAGCAAAGGAATACATTCTTCAGTTTACTCTTCAAACTTACCTATCCTTAATTCTAGAATCAGACATGAAGTGGTATAAGAAAGGAATATTATGTCACATTTTAATCATGAGGGTGTGTATAAAACTCTGAAATGATTACCCTGAGTGCTATTTTGAAATCCAGTAGCCTCTGAAAACTCAAAATTTCAATTTCACAACTTGACAACACAACCTCATTGGACCTCTTCTCATTACTGGCAGATCCTGACTTGAACAGATGAGAGTCTGCTTATCATCATCCCCGCACTTCACTGTGAAAATATTAGTTTGAGTACTAGGTACTCAGGTTGTTACTATTAATATACTTTGTGTACCATATGAGGTCAAAGTCCTCTAATTAAGTTTACAAACTTATCCTAGAAAAAGTATGACATACCTCATTGCTCAATATCTCTAGTCACCTTCAAAGTACTCCCCTTGGCCATCTGGTGACTGAGATGATACTCAACAATGACATATGTAATACTTTTTCTAGAATGAGTTTGCCATCTTAATTGGCAGACCTTGTACATTGTTGCTAGTGACTAAAAAGTTTGAATTCTGAAATATATCTTAAATCTGAGGGTTTTGTATGAGAGATTTGGGGCCTATAATATTAAAAAAGCCCAACAGTATCACCAGTATATAAAAGGAAAGTTATGTCCATGGTGAATTTATACCACATGTGCAAAGGATGGCTTAATAGAAAATCTGTATATGTGGTTGACTCCATAAACAGACCAAAGGAGAAAAATACTACTATGGCAGTAGATGTAGAAAAAGCACTTGATAAAATTTAACAAATAAATGAGAAAACTAATAAATTAGGAACAGATGAGAGCTTTCTTAATTTGAAAAAAGATATCTACAAATGAGCAAAATTTATAATAAGGATCATTTGTCATCCTACATAGGGAAGGATATTCCCTTTTCAATCAGAAACAAGATGGGTATACAGAATCATCACTCTTTTTTGGTGTTATGTGGAGAACCTGGTTAAAGGAATAAGAAAAAAGAAACTAAAAACATAAGTATTGGAAAGGAGGAAACAAAAATTATTATTTTGCTCATGATATCAATATGAAAGCCAATAAGCATCTATAGGTAAATTATTATTGACAGTATTAATAGAATTAGCAGAGTAGCTTGATATAAAATCAGTAATCAAAGTTCAGTTTTATCTCTGTATATCAGCAAAAAGTAACTAGAAAAAGTAGAGAAGGCATTATTTACAAAAGCATGGCAGGTTATCAAGTCCTTTAGAATAATCATCACATGTATAAAGCTTTATTCAAAGACATTAAAAAGATCTGAATAAATCGCAGAATTGCTACTTTTTTTGTCCATGAATATGGTATATCACAGAGAGGTCAGTGTTCTTGGGTTGCTGAACTTGGGTTGCTGTGTTTTGTTGGCTATTTCAAGAGATTTCCAGAAATTTCACATGCTGATTCTAATCTATGTGTAAAAGTGAAGAACTTAGAATAGCCTGGACACTTGTGAAAAGCAGAATGTTGATGGTGGTGGCATATATGCTTATTCTGTCATATAAAATAAAACTTTAGTATTTAAGACAGTGTGATATTGATGCAGGGATAGGCACATTGACCAGGAGAATAGGGAGTCCAGAAACACAGACAGCTGGTTTAGCGCTGTCCTTTGAACACAGTAGCCACTTGAAGCTGTTTAACACTTGAAAAGTGACTAGGCTGAACTGGAATGTGCTGGTCTAAATGGTGAGGGAAGGCCTCCATGAAAAGTATCATTTTTAGTTACAGCTGAGAGATAAATGTGTGTTAACTTGGGGGAATGGTAGGGTGGAATGGAGAGTTATTTAATACTGAATAAGCCATATATGCATGTGGTAGGAAGGAACATAGTATATTCTTTTTTTTTTTTTTTTTTGAGACAGAGCCTCAAGCTGTCCCCCTGGGTAGAGTGCTATGGCATCACAGCTCACAGCAACCTCCAACTCCTGGGCTCAAGCGAGTCTTTTTCCTCCACCTCCCAAGTAGCTGGGACCACAGGCACCCACCACAACACCTGGCTTTTTTTTTTTTCTTTTGGTTGCAGCCATCGTTGTTTGCTGGGCCCAGGCTGGATTCGAACCCGCCACCTTAGGTGTATGTGGCTGGTGCCTTAGCCACTTGAGCCACAGGCGCCGAGCTGAACATAGTATATTCTTAAAGGAAGTCAATGTTTTGGGGCAGGCTCACTGTCTAGGGGAGAGAGTAGTATAAAGAGACGCTTAAAGTCGGGACCAGACTCTGAAACCTGTTAGCAATTTAGTCTAAGAATAACTTGAAACTAGAGAGTGAGTGGCTTTGTTTCTTGAAATCACTTACTCACATTTGTTTAGAGTATGGAGAATGAATTGAGTGAGGGCTAGAGAAGATATGCAAGACCAGTTAGTACATTACACTAGTCTTAAGTGAACCATGATGAAAGCTTAGAGTAGTACGGGCCCTCAGCAGAGGTCTGATTTATTTGGAGATACATATTTAGAAGACAATGAAGTGGAGATGGCAAAATGCAATTCCCTAGGGAGTAAATACAGAGAATTGTCTGCCTATATTGAGGAACTGCCAATGTTCAAGTAGCGGAGTAGTCAGAGAGTAAGAATAAACCATTTACTCTTTCTTAGCTGATTCCTTCACCTATAAAGTAGGAATTACATTATTTTCCTTGGAGTTGTGTTAGAAACTGGAAATCTGTGTTTCTGATGCATGGCACATAGCAGTGCTCAATTTACAGAAGTTCTGTATTAATAGCATTTACATTATAGTATTATAAGTAATCTAGAGATAATTTCAAGTATAAAGGAAGATGACCATAAGTGTATGCCATTTCATATAAGAGACTTGAGCATCCTCAGATTTTGTTATTTGCAGAGGTCCTGTGGGATACTGTGGGAAATCTGTATTTATTTTGATTTTCTGGTATATTAAAGTGAAAAAATACTGATTGTGACCTATTGAATTGATTTAGCAACTACTAGTATTTGAAAAGCAATACTTTAAGAGAATGAATCTGAATGAGAAAATTTGAATCGTATTAATAAAATGCCAGGGTTTTGTTTTGTTTTATATTTTGGGAAAGGGTATTGCCCTCAGGCGAGAGTGTAGTGGCGCTATCATAGATCCCTGCAAGATCAAACTCCTAGGCTCAAGTGATCATCCCACCTTGACCTCCTACTTGGGCTTTATTCAGTAACCAATTTCTGTTGCTTTTTTATTGGCTAAACCGTTGTACCTGTGATAGATTAACTATAACTATGGTGTTTCTGTAATTTCTCATGAAGTTAACATTTGTTTCTTCAGTAGCATTTTTGGTGCTGGTTGCATCAATTAATGTCAATATGTAAGTATAGATACAGAGTACAGGTATTTCTGCCTATATTTTATTATCTGCTATTTCTTTAAATTTGTTTCTGTGTTGTCCATTTGACCATGATTTTTTTTTAGATTTCAGGTTAATGTGAGGGTACAGACTTAGGTTATGTTTGCTTTTGTTAGGTAAGGTCCCTGTTGTAGATGTGCTCCTCACCCAGAATATGTGCCATATACCCTTACATTGTGCCCATTAGGTAAAAATATGAAATAGTTCACAGATTTGCATGTCATCCGTGCACAAGGACTGTGCTAATCTTCTCTGTATTGTTTTCCAGTTTTAGTATACGGGCTGCCAAAATAAGCACCATTTGACCATGATTTATTGCTTTTCACACTCAGATTGAAATACAAGATTGTATCAGTGGCATACTTGTTTTCACAAATTTCAAAGTAATTTGGCAAACAAATTTTTTCAGTGTGGCTCTTTTCATACTTTTTTCTTAGTGCCTATAGCAGCATATTAAATAGAAAAAACTGGCATAATTATTGAAGTTACTCAATTTGAAGCACATTAATTATAACTGCTAAAATATATTTACTATGTCAAGGAGGTACTTAACTCCTGTAACATAAAATGAATTTTGTTCTTATTATATTAATGGACATTTTTACTATTTATTCCAAGACTATGGGTAAATTTATAGAATGGCCAGTTGTATATACTCCACAATTTGGTGTACTACAAATTGTCTTACTCCATCCTAAAAGAGGTGTTTTATAGTAGATACAGTTTTATGATTGCTACCTCTGGAGTGTTTTTCCTGTCATCTCAGCTCATGTTATGAAGGTGAACACTCAAGTAAATGTGGCTTAATCTATGACTTTTAAAGAAGGAAAACCCAGGTCGGGTGTGATGGCTCACTCCTATAATCCTAGCATTCTGGGAGGCTGAGGCAGGTAGATTGCTTGAGATCAGGAGTTCAAGACCAGCCTGAGTAAGAGTGAGACCCCTGTCTCTACTAAAAATAGAAGTTGGCCTGATGTTGTGGTAGGCACCTATAGTCCTAGCTACTTGGGCGGCCGGATCAGGAGGATTGCGTGAACCCAGGAGTTCGATGTTGCTGTGAGCTAGCCTGACCCCATGGCACTCTATCCTGGGCAACAGAGTGAGACTCTTGTCTCAAAAAAGAAAAAAGAGAGAGAGAGAAAGTTCAGAGGAAAAGAGGACTACATTTTAAAAGTAGTAGTTTTTTGATGTTTTCAGTCCTTAGAACAGACTACAAGGATGTGACAAAAGAGATTGCATGATCTTGTGATTGTATCTAACTTTGTCCAAGTAAAAGGTACATCTGCAGATTTTGTATAAATTGTTTTGAGCTTTGGGGAAGTTGTTCTTGGCCTTTGAAAATCTAAGGGGAAGGTTTAGTTATATTCCTTAGGAAAATGCACATGAACAGAACCATACTGGGGTTTTAAGGGTTTCACATCCCAAAGGTCTGTGACTTCAATCTAAGAACCCCTATTGTAAGATGTGAGGCAAAAAGACAAGATGCTGGAATTTTTCTCCATTCTTCACTAATGCTCTGAATGACAGAGTAACAGGTGAGGGGGGAAGCAGAGGGAACGACAGAGTTTCTACAATTGGGATGCTAAGTATAATGAAAAACTCATTTTCATTTGAATGTACTTGAAAAATATGTATTTGGGGAAGCTTGATAGAAATCTCCCCATTCACTTGAGTAGCTAACTATTTTGCTATAACTTGCTCCGGAACTCCGGGGTTATTTTTTATTAGTTGATTAATGGCATAAATAAAATATCTGCCAAATAGATAATATGTGTTGAAGTATGAACAGTTTGTTCCTTTTTATTTCTGAGTAATATTTCATGGTATATACATAACAGTTTTTTAACCTGTTGAAAGACATTGGAGTATTTCCAGTTATTAACTGTCTAAAGTTGCTATGAACAACATTCAAGTACAGGTTTTTATATGAACATTAGTTTTTGTGTCTCTGGGATAAATACACAAGAGGGCAATTGCTGGGTCATATAGTAATTTCATATTTAGTCTTTAAGAAACTGCCAAACTCTTTCCCAGAATGAGTGTATAATTTTAAATCTCCAATTGTAGTAGGTGACATGTTCAGTTTCTCCACATTTCCTCCAGTATTTATGGTACAATAACTTGGTAATTGAAGTTCCTCTACCCCATTCACTGTTATTTCAAACTGTTCATTATGTTGCTTCCTGAGGGCGGTAGCAGTGTCTGATCCTTCTCCTTATAAAATACAGATGTGCCCCAAAAAGGTATACACATTTTAAGGAAGGAAAAAAACTGCATTAAAACTGTAATACTCAGTATATACCAATAACAAAAGATGAATACAAGTCATGTTGAGCACCTCTTATAATTGCAGAAATCAAATATGACTTAAGTATTATAAATTTAATGCGGTTTTTCCTTTCTTAAAATGTGTATACATTGTTTTGGCACCCCCTGTATATTTATAGCCTCTGTATAAAGTTCACATTCCTCAGTTAGGCACCTTACTGAGGTTAGGTATATGCAGTGTGTGGCCCTTGCCTACCTTTCTACCCTCACAATTCACACTTACATACACTCTTAAATTTTGGATTTGTCAAAATAGGTGTAAAATAGTAGCTATCTTAGAGGTATTGTGAAAATTAAGATTATGCACGTAGTATTAAAATGTGCCTAATAAATTAGTAGTTGGTAAATAAATGGCAGTTTCTAATGATTTCTGAGTCCTTGTCCTGACATACAGTAATTACTGAAATGTTCAGATGAGTAAATGACTTACAGAATAGATCCTTTCTTAATTTCTAAAATGTCCTTGACCTCATTCTTTTCTGTACAAGGTCTGCCTTTTGAAGTCTAGGCTTAAGTCTTATATCTAGTTATTTTGACACTTAATCACATACCAGTCTGTATGCTGTTAATAAAATAACTGGTGGTGTTTTTGCACCTTAGCAGATTATAAGTTTCTTGAGGGCATTAAATTCCACTGGTTTTTGTGCTCATGGTAACCCAGCATGTTATAGTGATTTCTTAGTTTTACATGCTGTTGAAAGTACATCATCTATGTACATTAATGCACTTCTGGGGTACAGTGTGGGGTTTTCACATGCAATCCAAAATACTTTCATCAAACTGGTCAACACAGCCTTCATGTCATTTTCTCAGTTATTGTTTTAAAACGTTTACATTCTATTCTTAGAAAGATTCACTTGTACCCCTATAAGATAAACCTAAGCAGTGATCCCTCCAAACCCCCTCCCTCCACCTATTCCCCCTCCCTTCTCCCAGCTGATCTTATTCTATTTGTGCATATATGTTTGTTCAGTTTTTTAAAAATATTTTTTATTCATCAGCAAAAAATAGAAAAAGGAACTATGTGCTCCTTATTTTTATCTTTAAATAGTACATTAAATTGCATTTCAGTTTATTATCCTCTTTCTACCCCACAAGTAAATCATCTTACCTTTGTGCAGTAGCATGATTACATTATCTCTTGTATCACATTTCCTCCTTTTATCGTAGGTTGATGCTTAATTATTATATATTTGATAACTTTAAAAAATTTTAGTTACTGGTTATACACACCTGAATGTCGGCTAAGTGAAACATTCTCCACACATACTTTTCTCATTAACATACCTATACATTACTCTTCTGACTTTCACTTTTCCTGAGAACTCTGAGGCTAGTGTGCTATCTTCCTGTAGCTGTTGGTGATTTTTCTTCAGCCTGGGTGCTTTTAAGATTCTCTGAAACTTGCTGTTTTTGGTATGATATATCTCTAACTTGATGAATCACTCTTATTTGTCTGTCTTCTCTAATACATAATAAGGTCATTCTCCAGATTAAACTTGTTACTTTAGGGAAATATCTTCCTGGACTACTTGGATTAATTTCTTTCACAGACAGTAATCCACATGTTTGGGGTATGTTGATGAGCAAAGCAGATAAAAATTCCTGCCCTTGTGTAAAGCTTAAATTATAGCAAGGGCTAAATAATAATACATGAATAAATTAAATAGCATTGTGAAGATAAAAACAGAGGAAGAAGGATTGGGAGTACTGGGGAGGGGCTGGGGAAAGACAGCAGTAGGTTTTTAATATGGTGACCAGTGTAGACTTTATTGAGAAGGTAAAAGGAACAGCCAATACAAAAGTCCTAAGGCAGGAGCATTTCTGACATTAAAGTAGCAAAGAAACCAGGTAGTTTGAGGAAGGGAGTAAATGATGAAGAAGGTAGAGGGAGATGAGGTCAGAATATTAAGGGGCAGAATCCAAGGCATGTAATCCTAGTACTATGAGAGGCCAAGGCAGGTGGGTTTGAGCTCAGGACTTCTGAGACCAGCCTAAGCAAGAGCATTGGGGCAGGCACCTGTGGTCCCAACTACTTGAGAGGCTGAAGCAAGAGGATCACTGGAACTCAGGAGTTTCTTCAGGTTGCTATGATCTATGACACTGCCAGGACAGTTCAATCCCAGGGCAACAGTCAGACGCTGTCTCAAAACAAACAAAACCCACCCTGTAGATAAATAACAAAATGTCAAACTACTCATTTTTCTATGGCATTTCAAAGAAGCTTGATGACATTTTATAGCAGTTATAATCATCTAGGCTTAGTTTATGAAATAGTTTTAAATTATATAAATCATTTTGTGTTGGCATTAGTTTGTAGCTATAGATGAGCAGCAACTCTTAACCAAGGGGTGCGTATCAATTTCAGAGAGTTTTTCAGAAGTCATATGTTTTACAAGAATTTCTTGAATTGATTATAGTGGTTAAGTACTATTGTAGAAAAAGGAATTGTATTTGTATACATTTCATTCATCATAAAAGCTGATATAGGAGTGTCTAATTCACAACTATTTTTCTGCATAAGATTTTCTTTATGGCAGTGACATTAATTGGTAAAAAAAAATTAGTAAAGTCACATAGACATCCTCCTACCCCTAATATAGTATTGATTAGAACTTGACTATCAGAGCAGTTCTGTGTTAATACAGTATCCCTTTTGGGTTACCCAGAAATTTCTCACTGTTACCTTAGATTACTAGCTCTGAATCTTGGTATAACTGCAGAAATCAAATAACTTGCCTATATAACTTTATGGGCCATACATGGAACATACATATATATATTGAGAATAAGCCAGAAAACCTACCTTATTTTGCTTTCTTGTCTCATCCCCTGGTTTAAGTATTCAGAGCTGCCTAGATAAAGTTGAGACTACTTTTTCCTTTCCTGTGACCACAAGGGTAGGGATGAAATGATTTCCATAGTCATTTGAGAGTAGATAATCTGCTAATGGTCATTATTAAAAAGATT